CCTTTGGCTTCTATCTTGACGTCTCTGGGAGATGGAAACTGGCGTGCCAAGTCCAACACCGCCGGCTCGGCTCCTCTAGATGTAGGTCCAGACAGCAGCACACTTCTGTCGCATTTCATTCTAGATATGATCGAGGCCTTGATGACCTCCCTAGAAGGTCGAGGTCGGGCTTTCCATCGATCGAAGGCAGCGCTTGGTGTGTTCTTGTCCAACGTGTTCTGCGTGGTCGACCGGTCGATCCGACAGAGCCCCGAGCTGGCACGTTATTTGGGTAACCCCGACAGTATTGCCCGAATCGACACGTTCCGCAAGCGCGCGACGTCTACCTATCTGGATGCATGGAAGGAAACGTCCCAGTACCTTCTTGATGTGCAGTATACCTCCCGCGGGGCGCAGCGCAATTCTAGCGGCAACGTGGATTCAAGTGCCATCGTCAAGTCCCTGTCATCCAAGGATAAGGATGCGATCAAGGACAAGTTCAAAGCATTCAACGCGAGCTTCGAGGATATGGTGTCTCGGCACAAAACCCTTCACATGGAGCGTGAGGTGCGCTCTTTGCTGACTCGTGAGTTGCAAACTGTTCTCGAGCCTTTGTATGCGCGCTTTTACGATCGATACGTGGAGATCGATAAAGGCCGCGGTAAATACATCAAGTACGACAAGGCAAGCCTATCGGTACAGCTGGCGCAGTTGGCTTGATTTTCCGGAGCGGAGAGTGAACTCACAAAGGACTCCATCTATACGAGCTAATATCATAATAATGTATGCACCACCAAGCCTGCTTTCGCTACTGGTAGATCAACAAAACATCCCATAGAACGTATGATATCATGTGACATGTAGATCATACGATAACGTGACTGATAAGCCCCGCTAAAACCGGGCCGCAAGCAAAATTCCTTGCCCGCACATCGCCTTGTCCCTGTCTTATCGTCCATCCCGTTGCTCAATTCTTCGTTTGAGTATCTCAGACAACTACCGACACAATGTCCGGAAGCAACGATGTCTACCAGACCCCCCTCAACTCGCGTTATGCGAGTAAGTCGGTCCCAACTGCCCCTCTATAGGAGGGGCAACCCCGGAAATTGTACAAATCGGGATTAACCATACTCAATTGATTAGGCAATGAGATGAAGTACCTCTTCTCCCCCCGGAAGCGCTTCTCCACATGGAGACAGCTTTGGACCTGGCTCGCAGAGGCCCAACAAGGTACGGGAGAGTCGAAGATCGGAGGTAGTTGATGAAACACACCAATTGACTGAATTTTGGCTACAGAGCTTGGACTTCCTATCACCACCGAGGCTATCGAGCAGATGAAGGCCCACGAGGTTATCCAGGATGACGAGTTCGCCGTTGCCGCCGAAGAGGAGAAGCGCCGGAGACACGATGTCATGGCCCACGTCCACGCCTTTGGTCTGGTTGCCCCCGCCGCCGCTGGTATCATTCACTGGGGTGCCACCTCGTGCTACTGTACCGACAATGCCGATCTGATCCTGCTCCGCGACGGTCTCGACATCCTCATCCCCAAGCTGGCTGTTGTCGTCGACAAGCTGTCCCAGTTCGCTCAGCAGTACAAGGACCTCCCTTGTCTGGGCTTCACCCACGGTCAGCCCGCCCAGCTGGTGACCGTTGGCAAGCGTGCTTGTCTCTGGATCCAGGATCTGCTGATGGATCTGCGCAACCTCGAGCGTGCCCGCAATGACCTGCGCTTCCGAGGTGTCAAGGGTACCACCGGTACTCAGGCGTCTTTCCTGCAGATCTTCCACGGTGACCACGCCAAGGTTGAGAGCCTGGACGAGCTTGTTACTGAGAAGGCTGGCTTCAGCTCCGCTTTCATCATCTCCAGCCAGACATACTCGCGTAAGATCGATGTTGATGTCGCCAACGCTCTTGGTTCTTTCGGTTCCACCTGCGAGCGCATTGGCATTGACATCCGTCACCTTGCCATGCTCAAGGAGGTTGAGGAGCCTTTCGAGAAGGACCAGATCGGCAGCAGTGCCATGGTGAGTTTTCTTGTCCGTTGCGTTGGGTTTTTTAGCTGATGATTTGTAGGCCTACAAGCGCAACCCCATGCGCTCGGAACGTCTGTGCTCGCTCGGACGTCACCTGCAGAACCTCCCCAAGGACTGCTTGGACACCTACTCTGCTCAGTGGTTTGAGCGATCTCTTGTGAGTATACCGCGGGTGTGTCTAGAATCATTTATTAACTTTGTACTAGGATGACAGTGCTATCCGCCGTATCAGTCTCCCGGAGCTGTACCTGACTGCTGACGCCTGTCTCATCCTCCTGAGTGAGTTTCGGAGTTGTTAGAAGCTCGGATTATGTCTAACCACTATTAGACAACGTCTCCTCCGGCTTCGTCGTCTACCCCGAGGTCATCAAGCGCCACGTCAACGACGAGCTCCCTTTTATGGCCACGTGAGTACATGTTTAACGAATCCAATGGATGTTGCTAACACATATCTCAGCGAGAACATCATCATGGCCTGCGTCGCCAAGGGTCTCTCCCGCCAGGACGCCCACGAGGAGATCCGTAAGTTTCTCTCCGTATCTTCCTCTCCGAACCGGAATTCTAATGTACGCAGGTGTTCTCTCCCGCGAAGCTGCCGACAACGTCAAGAAGCAGGGCAAGGACAACGACCTCATCGAGCGCATCCGCCGCAACGCGTTCTTCACCCCCATCATCCCGGAGCTGGACACCCTCCTCGACGCCACCACCTTCGTTGGCCGCGCGCCTCAGCAGGTCGAGAAGTTCACCAGCACCGAGGTGGCTGCGGCCATCAAGCCCTACGCGAGCACCATTGCCAAGGGCGAGACCTCTTCCCTGTTCGTTTAAGGTACCCTTAGTACAGTCGTATTCTGTGTATCTGTTAGAAAGTGAAAAGTTATATATAAAAAGACGATGGGAGATATGGGATTTCCTATAGGTGAAAGAGAAGGGAGTCACTGTGTATACAAATTGAATGCAAGGCATTATGTTCCACTTGTGGATATCTCTCTGAGGGAAATTTCCCCCCCACTTCCTTGCTTCCCCGATGCCCCGCGCTCCAAATCTTCGAGGGGTCAATTTGGGGAGTGTCATGGAGTTAGAGCGGGAAGAGGATGTAACAGACATTCTAGAATGAGAAAATGATCAACGCTTTTGCTGTATGGGGAAAAAAAAAGACAATTGAACCGCCCATGAATAAGAGAATAAGAGAAAAGGGAAATGCTCGATCACGCTATCAGCCTGTATGGTAATCATACCCATATGCAATAGAACGCTGACATGCAAACGAAAAGAAAAAAGGAAAGCTGTTTGGGTCAATTGAGTGCCGGACCGCAGATATAGTCGACTCCCGCATATGACAAGCAGAATACTCCAGGGCTCCATCCGGAACTACCCCAACAGCGCCATTACCAGTAGGCTTAGCCCGGAGAATCTCCGGATACCACGCAAGCCGGCAATATGGACGTATCTTCAGCGCCATCTCTCCCGGAACCAAAACAAAAAAAGCATGATCCCTCAAGCGCAATGCATCCCTGCCCAAGAGCTCTGAGTCTGACTTCTCTCGGGACCCGAATAATATACGGGAATGCCAAAAGAAAGCCCGACATGTCGCTCAAAAGCCCGCAATGGGCCCCCAAAACAACCCCCCCCCCACTCCGGCAGCAGAAACGACCCAATCCAAGACGCAATTCTCGGGCCCACACACAGCGCCTTTATTTTTGTTCGGGTTGAGCAGGAGGGGTTGGTCTGGATTCGGACGGGGTGGACGGTAAGAAGAGGTCACGGACTAGCCAGACGATGTAGAGGACGGCCAGCACCCACAGGGTGGCCATGAGCTTGTATGTGGAGGAGCGCCATGTGACGCGACGGATGAGGCGACGGCCATTGGGACCTTCGATGGGGCCTCGACGGGGTTGCCCATTCGACTGACTGTTGTATGGGCCGTTGGACTGCATGAAGGGATAGGCGAGAGCCTCATTCATTTCGCTGTGCGATATTCGACGGCGAGACATTTGTGTGGATTGTGGATTCCGGAGGGTATATATCTATCGCTTTTCGGAGGGACGGTTTTCCTCCCTATGTATAGGCCGGGAGAGGGTTAAACATTCGAGGCACCGATGCACGGGTTGTCAATGGAATTGAAGAGATGAAGATTTTGAGGTTTTGGAGATTTGAGATAATTTTTTAGGGCCAGAATTGATGGTATTTTTTTTTTTTTTTTTCTTTTCGGGGATATTGGGATTTTTTTTCCGCCAACGCACACACGAAAAAAGGTAGGAGGGGCTAAATAATAGCCAGTCAGAGATAATAATCGCTCGACAACAGCAAGAGCTCGAAAAGGGAATCTTGAGTGTCCAGAAAGCGGATCTGTTGCACGGGCGAATGGGTAGCGGTGGGAACGTGGCCCGTTGCATCATCCGATGACTTTTCCCTCTCTTTTCTTCTCTATCAAGGATATGGGATATGAACGGAGTCTTCTTCGAGAAGACCAGTGATTGCGCCAATGCGAGATAGCCGCGGTGCTGGTCATTTTCTTAGCGATGGCCATTGAAGAGCTAAAAGGGGGCGAGGACAGGGTTGACAAAAGTACGTGAGATTATGCATGATATAACCGAGTCCTCCGTGTTTAAGTAATAAGAGAATCACCAGTAAAAAGTTAACAAGTAACAATGTATGATTGACGAAGAACTAAACCAAGTACATGAACGAGTGTCTTTGTATATCCTTCGTTTCCTACGGCGTATACTTCCCAAAGTCGGAGTCACGGTCACGTGTCCATTGAATATACCAACTGGATAAATCAGAACCCAAATGAAACATCAACAGCTTGGCGAGGCTCGAAGTGAATCGGTGCGAGCTTTGTTCGCTAGCTTAAATCGGACCCGAAAGAGTTCTGCTAATAATTCTAGAACCCCATATGCTCCAGAATCTCAATCAGGACTTTCTCGTTCTCATTTCGGCAGTTTTGAATGCCTTGATCAGTTTGCTTCCTCAGAATGTCTGAATTTGTCACGCGCCGGGCAGGATAGAACTAAGCAGGGCATCGACATCGGCGACAATGTCAATCCCTGAGATTGTCATCGGGCGCTTGCAACCCTCGTTCTGAAGAGCGTCTTCCCAGGCCTTAGCAACTTTCCACTGCACTCCCTCGCTGCCTTGCTGGTCATCGGGAAGAGGGTCTGGGAAGCCGTGTAACTTGGCTTCCTTGAGGGCCCTTTCTTCACGGGCCTCAATACCGGGCCAGCCCCCAAACTTGCCCCCAACCCCACCAAAGGAGCAAAGGAACTCGTGTGAAGGATGGAGAACGCACGAAAAGTCGTAGTCAATTAATCCTGTGATGCGACCTGAGGAAATGTCGAATAACAGGTTGTTGGGTGCTGATAGAAAAAATCTATAAGAACAAGCGGTTGGGCTCGGGAGGTGAAAGGGGACAATGCTTACTAAAGTCTGCGTGGATTATTGCCTTGTCGTCGCGCGATTCAAGCTGCTTGAAAGATTCCGGGAGCCCTCGCTCTATAAAGGCCTCCAGTCGGTCCCGGACGCCATTCTCATGCCAGCCCCGGATATAAGAATTCTCGTCGGTTTTCTTCAGAGCTTGCTTGAGCCATGCTTCAAATGCAGCCTCGTACGAGGGCCAGGGACCAGTACTGGTAATGGTCATTGGTGCGCTGATTATGTTGTTCTCGTTCTCAAATGTCAGTCCTCCAAATTTAGTAATAGAGGCGGGTAGCGGGAAGTCCTGAAGGCCTTTGAGGAGCTTTGCGATTTATGCAAATATCTCTTTCTTCTCCTCGAGTTCCATGTTATCTAGCTTTTCGTCTAGAGGAACGCCTGGCATGAGCTCCTGGAGGATCCAACCTTGCTGTGGCTCCCCTTTTTCGGATGTGGTTCCAGCCCAGCCATACAGGCGAGGCACAACGTGGGGTTCGAAATTTGGGTCTAGCGCAGCAGCGGCTAGAGTCATCATAGCAACCTCGTTCTCGACACGATTCGCTGCTCCCATGGATGTAGCATCAGGGTTTGTCAGACGAAGGATCCGATCATTAGTGCCGGAAGGAATAGCCACACAACCGGGCATGTGCTGACAGGCACCATTCTCTTTGTCGAGTGGAGACGGCAGAGAGATGCGATACACAAAGTTATTGTACTTAAAGGGGCACTCAGGATCATACACAATTGGTTCAACCAGGGTATTTGCCTAGTCAGCCTCTTTAGTAGCGTTTATGACTCATTCTATCTTCAGGTACATACTGGTAAACCGAACGTTCTTTTCAATAAGCCATGAATGCCATTAATAAAATCAAGGCGGACCTGATAATTGGAATGATTGTGATTCATATTGTGTTTAAGGTACCATTAGTTTGTTAATAGCTAGGAAGAAAGACATGAGTGGTATGGATATCATCCCGGACATCCCCAACATCAGATCAGCTGATATCTAACATGTGATTCCTGCCTGAGGCCACACAATTATGTCATAGACCACGGGTGAACGGACTTTTAGAATCCCATAGTCTCTCCAATATAACACTTCTCCTTTGTGAATGTAGTTTTTAATATAAAAAAGAAGTAGAAAAACAGAAAACCCAGCAAAAAATCAGTCCGTCAGCATTCCTAAGATACAAATCATACGTTGCTTATTCCTGTCGTGTGATCTTCCTCCGGTCCCCGGAGAGCGCAAGCGGAGAGGCGGAGAAAACCCGGGGACCGGTCAACCTCGGCAGTGAAAACCGATGACTCGATTCACTCACACTTCCTCCTCGACAACTTCTCTCTGGATAGATCACTTTCTAGAAAACACAATTCCAAGGCCATTCGGCCAATATATCACCACCATGTGGAAGCCCTCGGAAAGGCTGATGGACACCATCAGACATTATGCCAGCTTCCCCGCAACCGGTGTCTCACTGAGACAGATGGTCCAGTTTGGGGACCGTCCCTCAACAGGTATGAACTATGAACGGGTCTGCGCTGTCTACAGTTACATATCTAACTCTCATCCAGGTACTCTATTCCGCGCCTCTCAATTTCTCTCTGAGGAGCTCCCGATCCGTCTCGCACATCGCGTGCAGGATCTGGGTGAGCTTCCAGATGGACTTAGTGAGATGCCATCGATCAAAAAGGTCCAGGACTGGTATGCGCAGTCATTCGAGGTAGGTGACTCACCAATTAACAATGATCCCGGATCCATATACTGACCCGATCAGGAAATCATTGCTCTTCCCCGCCCCACTCTGACTCAAGAAGTGAAAGCACGCCTGTTGCGACCCGGCCGGATGAACGGCCCGTCAAAAATCCTCTCTGAAACAACCCAAAACCCCAGCGTGCGTGAAGGACAGTATCGGTCATCCGTAACTGCATCCAATGGAAATGGTGTTGCCAGGTCACCCGCCGCCTCAGGCCGACGGTACTTCTTCCCCTCCGACGACCGCGGAAACTGGCCTCCGGAACTCAACGACTACAACCAACGATTCGCCAAGACCCTTCAACAGATCAAACGACGCCACGACGGGGTTGTGACTACCGTCGCGCAAGGTATCCTAGAATGGAAACGTGCGCGTCAGCGCATGCAGATCGACTCCACGATTCAGTCCTTCCTCGACCGGTTTTACATGTCAAGGATCGGTATACGAATGCTTATCGGCCAACACATCGCACTCACGGAACAAACGCATGTCAAACACCCCAATTATGTCGGAATAATTTGTACTAAGACCAACGTTCGCGACATCGCGCTCGAGGCCATTGAGAACGCCCGCTTCGTCTGCGAGGATTACTACGGTCTTTTCGAGTCGCCCAAGGTGCAGCTGGTCTGCAAGGAGGACTTGAACTTCATGTATGTTCCCGGACACCTATCGCACATGCTCTTTGAGACCCTCAAGAACTCGCTCCGGGCGGTCGTTGAAGCACATGGGGCCGATAAGGATGAATTCCCCGTGACCAAGGTAATAGTAGCCGAAGGCAAAGAGGACATTACGATCAAGATCTCCGATGAGGGCGGTGGTATCCCCCGGTCGTCGATCCCCCTCGTCTGGACCTACATGTACACGACAGTGGAGCAAACGCCCAACCTGGACCCTGATTTCGACAAGAACGACTTCAAAGCACCCATGGCTGGATTTGGATATGGCCTACCAGTAAGCCGACTATACGCTCGGTACTTTGGCGGTGATTTGAAGTTGATCAGTATGGAGGGGTATGTTATCCCTGCTTAAACTGTCTGAACCATTGCTAATTGATCTCTAGCTACGGGACCGATGTCTACCTCCATCTCAACCGCCTCTCTTCAAGCTCAGAGCCTTTGCAATGACAATCACCTGTCATGAGAGACGGTCGGATCCGGATCACCACCTCGCACCGCCTGCAACCTTTTTACAATGACCCGGAATACGATCCCGTACCGTCTCGAGGACTGACACTGATGAATGCCCAGGCCCATTACTCTCGCATGCTCAACCGAGAAGTCTCGGAGCGTAAGCAGGTTGGAGACATCGAGAGTCTGTTCCACTCGGAGCAGCGGAGGAGAGAGGAGAAAGAGATGTAAGCCTTGGCATCTACCCTGTCTTCTGATTGGTTACCCCTATCTCTCATCTTCCTTTCCTCCGACTCGGATGGCATCTGTGACCAGCTCAGCTGTTCCATCAAGAATGCAAAGATGAGTTCGCAAGTCGGACTGCAGTGCTACCGCGTTGCCTGGGTCTTCGGGTAATATCCCAGAGATCGAAGGAGGAGAGAACTCAAAAGAACAGAGAAGCTACATATGTCTTCTCTTTTTGGATCCCCTCGATGATACCCCTTTTATCTTTATTTTGTTCTCTTCCTCTTTCTCTGGGTTGGTGGCCCTGTCGTTGATCTGCTTCTCTGTATAGTAGTTTATTTTAATGTGTTTTAGCGAATATAACATTATGGTATCATCTGTCATTAGTAGTCTCTAGTCATCGAGTGCTAATTCAAAATATCTAGCCTTGAAGACCAAGAAACATAAATTCATAACTCATAGATTCTCCTCATCCCCACCCCCAGAAACCCTCGGCGAATTCGCACCGGAAAAAGACCCCACCGAAACAGACCGCGAACCACTCTTGCTCTTCTTACTCTTAGCATCCGTCTTCTTCGCATCGAAGGTCCTCAAATGCCCCGGCTTATGCCAGTTATGATCATCAATATCCCCAATAATCTCCCGGTACCGACCGCGAATAAGCGATCCCTCCCCGCCCTCCCCGTCAGGCGCGATGTAGAAGCGCGGGTTGTACAGTTCTTCTGCTTTTTCCGGGTCGTTGGGCGCGAGATATCTTGCTAGGAAGCGTCGGCGGGTTTGGGGGATTGTCTGGTTTTGTTAGTTTAATTGTACTTGTACTGGTAATAGTGATAGTGGCTGGGATAGGATAGGACAGGACAGGACAGAGAGGTAAACGTACTTCTCGCGAGGAAAGCGCATACGTAATCAACAACTCATTGTCCATGAGGACAGCCAGCGCGGCGTGTTTTTCGTCGCGGAGATGCGGGCGTGTGCGGGCGTCTTTCTCGAAGGCGGTTTGAGACTCCGTGCCGCCTTGGCCGGCGCGGTTGTATGATGTCGTGAGGGGGTTCGGGGCGCGGTCGCGGAATCCTCCTTTTTGCGGTGTTAGTTTGTAGACTGGACTATGATTCACTTGGTTCAGGGAGATAGATAGAGATGAGATGTTGGAACTTGGAAGACATACCCGTGTCCGATCCAGATGTAGTTCCATTCACGTTCCAAGCATCATCGCTTGATCCAGGGCGGGACATTGGTATGCCGTCCACGTTTCTGAGTTCGAGACCTTCGCCGTTGTTGTGCATTGGTATGCCGTCGGCGCGGTTTAGGTCGTCGAGTTGCATGCCGCCATCGGAGTCTGATTCGGATTCTGTGTCTGAGATGAGATTTATGGGTCCGCCGGACATGGTGAAGATGTTGATATGGGATATAAGTCGGGGGCAAGTGATCGAGAGGGGGGTTTAAGTTGATGTGTGGGGTGCAACCAATGACTGGTGAAAATAGGAGTAATAAAAGGCCTCTTCTGTGGAATGTGCTTCACATCTATGAATGGCAGATAATTTCATGTATATCCTATTGTATGACCCCGGATTTCTATAGCTAGTGTCAGTGGATGAGAAAGAGATATTGGCCGTAAGGGCAGAGACTGGTCACCTCCGGAAGAGGGGTTGGTTGACAGGAATCAATTCTACCTCAAGAATGAAGTTCGAAGATACATAGTCACGGCACTGCAGATAGAAGGCAAGTTATAACGATTCAACGTGTTGAGATATCGTGCCCTCTTGGCGTGTCCGTACTGTGGCCAGATCCAGCAGGCGGTGAGTTTGTACAATGGGGCGATGTTGAACCCCCTAACTAGGTTTAGTAGATATCAAGTATATCATTACGTCATACGGTTGGAGTTGAGGTGAGAGAAGACTAGATGAGCTCTACGAAGAAAGAGTGAGAATCAAATGGTTAATGATGAATGGCGAAAGTAATATAATGTGATGCCCAAACCCAATAACGCCAGCAAACAATGCCGCTAAAACGACTAACAGTTTAGGATAGAAAGAGACAACAAAATGATAGAATCTAATTAGCCGGACAGTCGTGCATGTATGAATTTTTAGGCCAATTGTACCCAGCCTCGTCCCTAAAGTTCAATCGTTAGTAAAGCGCAAATAAGAAAAACCGGCAATAAACATACCAAGTCGTAAAGTTCGCATTATCATATGCCTTGCGATGTTTCTCAATATACTTAGTCGTCTCGTACCCCGGCGGGTCACAAGTAACGCTCTCATCATCGGGGTCCTGGTAGATCCGGACGTAGTCGAAGCGCAGGATGGCAGGCATAAAATCAATGATGCTCTTGTTCTGTGGCGCGAAGTTATCCGCCATACCCATGTTCATGATCAGCGCCATAGGCTCGAGTGGGATCATGCGCTGCCCTATATTGCCGTTGGGTCCGATGGCGCGAGCGTCCAATGTCCAGGTTTTCTCAGCGCCGACGAACCAGGTCACGTCTCCTTCTGCGCCGGGTGTATACTCGAAGGAGTAGGTTTGGAATTCGGTGCCGTTGTACCAGCGGTGGTTCAGGTTGGTTAGGCCGGACATGGCCTGTTGGTAGACACCGCCGCGGTAGGCGTTAATTTGGGTGACGCGTGGGTCGTAAACAGCGGCGAAGTCTGGAGTTTTTGTTTAGTGGATGTCTTCCATATCGAGAAGATCAAAAAACTCACCATAGTCGGGTAGGTACCACAGGTCAAATGGTGCGGTCTGCAAACTCTGCGATGCACTACCGACGAACGGACCGCTGTCACCATACAGCGGAGCAGTGCTGCCTTCAATCACATCGATTTCAGGAGCACTGCGTGCAACACCAGGAGTCGGGTGATCAGAGCCAGGACAGGCACATCCGGGCAACCGCATACCGGGCAGCCAGTTAATACCATCAAGTGAACTCTGGTTTGGGGTGATGCCTGCATCGCAGCCATCATGGTAGCTGTACGGCCACATACCATCAGTGGTAGCAGCATAGCCAGGACGAGCCAGGTTACCCATTGCCCAGAAACCAGGCCAGAACCCTTGAATGTGTCCATCGCCCGGGAGGGACATGCTGGCTTCGAGACGGCCTCCCTTGAAGCACAGCTTGTTCCAGCTTTGTACCATACCGGATCGGTAGTCGAGATTGTGGTTTTCGAAGTGATCGAATCGAAGCTGGAGGGTGCCTTCTGCTGTGGTTACTGCGTCGGGATCATACCACTAGGCAATGTCAGCGATTGAGCGATGATTAGTGACATGGTTTATACTAACCTCTTTGTCCTGTGTCACTCCGTACCATAAATCCACTGCTTGGAAGAATGGGTCATCGTCCTCGAAGAACGTTCGACCGGGCATGTTGAACTCGTCGGAGAACTACAATGGAACGTCAGCCACTTCTCATTGTCGACATATGAAACAACTCACCACTAGCTTCATCTCCTTTCCATTGGCGCTTTTCTTGGTGTATGCCTCTTTCGGTGTGTCTGGATCAATCAAGCCCTGGCGCAGGTTTCCCAACAATGGTCGCTCTCCAACATCCAAACACAACGTGTCTTCAGGGTGGCATATACCTTCATGGGGATGTTTCCCAAAGCCCGCCAACCAAGTTCTGCAAGGACTGTTAGCCATGGAGAGACAGTCAGATAAGCCAGCAACTTCTTACATGAGCGGGTAACCAATGAAAAGCACCAGAAGACCTATTGTGAAAACCGCCAGACCACCGACATTCACAATACCCCGTCGATTCCAGATATCACAATCGCGATCCTTGTCCGCCGGGTCCGGGTTGTGCAAATAGTCATCCTTCTCCACGTCCTCGGGGTACAACAACAACCCATCAGTGGGCATGATATTGAACTTCCCGGACACAGTCTGCGTGTTGACATCATAATCCTCACTACCAGCGTGCGAAGGCGCCCTCGAGTCCTGGAACGGATCAAAGTGGAAAGTGCTCTCGCGGCTCATGGAGCTGATACTCGAGCGAGCCGTAGACCACCGATCCGGAGACCGGGTCCGGTCAGTGTCAGTCAGACCATGTCCCTGTGTAGGCCTCAACTTCGGGGGCAGCAGGAATTCCGAGGACTCGGGGGCAGCTGATACGCCGTATGGTGATATCGCTTGAGGGCTCACCGGCATAGGCCCTTCGGGTCCCTGTGGTGTCAAGGGCCGGGGAAATGTCCGCGACGTGAGAGGCGCGTAGCCTTCATTTGACTCGAGGAAAGGATCATGCTGCCCGGAGTTGAGTCGGATGTGAGGCATCGCCTTCCCCTCTGAGGTATCAGAGCCGTGGTCCGACATTTGATCGATTTTAAAGTTTCCTGGATAAGTCCGACACGACCCTCTGCTCCGTACTAGTGAGGCCTTGCTGTGCTTTCAATTCCGCCGCGAGAACAGCCCTTTTCTATCAGTCGTTGGTGGAATTTGCAGAGCAGATGGGTATGATGTGATGTTCTGCTTCTTCTTTCTTCCGATTCGTCACGCAGCGATTTCCTATTTATTTCAACGGTAAAGACTGAAGACCAAAGCTGGTATATTGCACAGTCGACGAGTGCAATATTTTAGCGAAAGAACGAACGCAGGTCGGATAGCATCGAATTTCCCTCGGCGACGATAAAAGAGACAGAGTCTAAACGGAAAAAGAAGGCCAAAAACACAGAAGAAAAGAAGAGCCTAGATGGCCCGAGGGGTCTTGTTTGGGTTCACGAGGAGACAGGAATGACAGAGGTCCAAGGGGGCAACCAGTGGTATGTCTATGCCTCTCTTTTTCCGAGCCTTTGGGATGGACCGTGGATGATAGTAGATACTATTCAAGACTCAGTTTGATAGCTCAAGACATCTTCGTTATATCATTGACTGTCTGCTTCGATTGATTGAAATAGGCTGATGGTTAGCTCCCACGCCCAAGGTAGGGCTATTCTAGGGTGCGGCATTCCCGTTGCTCCCCAGGGCCCCAAGGAATGGCCCGGCATGAATGCTGGCTGGAATTTGGGGATCACCATGGTCATGAACCTGGAGAGATTCGAATACAGTAATAATAGCAGTTAAAGTTGCTCCTATAGATGCACGGGGTGTTGTTGAAGCGAAGGGCGAATCGGCGGGGAAGATGAGAGACATGGCCGGCTACCAGCGCGATATACAACATACAACTAGATAAATCTGCATATGATTTCTTTAAGCACAAACAGCTACGTACAAGACTAGTTACCAGAGTTGTTCCTTTCAAGACTACGACACGCGTCCTCAAACCCCAACCCCGGGGCTTAAGAATGCGACAAATCCCGAACAAAAACCTGTCAGGGCCAACTTATACCAAGGGCAGAGTAGGATGAGGCCCCTGTTTATCCATTCCGCGCCAGTGCTTCTACATCGAAAAACAAGGCAGCACGAAATCCGTACCGATCTTTCTCATAAAAATATCATATTTCGGTAGAATAGACAAATAGCAAAACCAAAATTATGTCCTATACTGACCCAAGACCTCTCATTATGGATATAGTCTGGACACCTACGACTCAACAGCCTTGGCGCGCAAACCGACAAGACGGCTCTCAGGCGCATGTAGTGCCAGAACCCAGTACTCGATCTTGGTACTAGTTTGTTCAACACGGTAGACCTTCAACTCAACGGACGACTTATCAGCGCCAGAATCCTTCTCGACAGCCGCGGCGCGGACAGCATCTAGGGCGGCAGAGTACTGATTTTTCGGGTCGAAGGAGGAGGGGGATAGAATGGAGATGGACTGGGACAGGTCGGTGTCTGGGGAGATCAGGGAGGAGATCTGGTCTGCAGTGAGGGAGGGTGGTTAGCAGGGTGGTTGTAGAATTTTTGTCTTAGGTTTTCAAGGGAGTAAGTTCATGAAGGAGGATCAGGAACAGGGTCAGGGTCAGGATCAGGATCAGGATCAGGAACATACCAGCACTAGGCCACGCTCCCTTGGCAGCGCCATCCCACTTCAATGCCACAGGCTCGAAGGGCTCGTCTGTATCTGAGATGTAGTATGCGTCGACGGACTGGAGCGCCTTTGGCACTGACAGGGAGCTGTGCACGGTCTCGGTTTTGACGGTGCCGGTCCCTTGCTGTGGGGCGCTGCCGCTCACATCTGCGTTCGCTTTGTCCAGGAAGGACATGTAGGCGTCGTCGGAGGACATGGCTTGTGTTGAGGTTGAGAAGGGGGACTTGGTGGGGGAAGAGCTGGTTTGTGGGTGCGGTCTTGAGGTTGCGGGGAAGAAGCGGGTTTGGTGCGCTGCGTTTGTGGGGTGGGTTCTTATGCTGGTTTGGTTATATAGACGATGTAGAAGACGGTATTGGTGTTGGGGATGTTCTATTTGGAAGGTTGATCGTAGAGTGTAGGATGAGATTGGCAAAGCCCGTTTTCTTGTCGGAGCTGGCAGGGAAAGGTGTGGGATGACGCAATGAATCTTGGACTGGCGCATCTTGTTCACCACCCGTTTGTTGGATTGGAATATGATATATTGGAAGGAGTAAAGAGAGTGAGGATCTTTTTAGAGGATGTAATCAAGATATATGGAAGGGAAAGAAAAAAACCAGCTGAACAGTTCGGCTGCGTACAACATCTGAACCAGATATATACCAAGTGATAGGAAATATTGATTTAAGAAATATATCATTGATGTAGAATTCTCCATACACTGGAATAAATTTATAAATCTAGACAGTATACATCTACATGCAAATCGTGAAGGATATTCGCTTTTTTATTGAATATGAAACGTCGCACTACCGCCAACCATAGGCTTAAACATCTTAAACAGTCTCCACAAGGTCCTTCTTGAGGGTACCCATGAAGGCCTTCTTCTCCTCGAAGGTCTGGAAAGCACCGTGACCGAACTTGGAGGAGGTATCGATCCACTTGAGCTCGACCTTCTCGGTGGCCCGGCGGGAAGTCTGGGGGTACAGAGTCTTGCGCAGAGTCATAACACGCTTCTTGACACCGGGAACGGAGCCCTTAACCATGACGAAGTCGTTCTTGACCTCACCGTAGTGGACGAAACCACCCATACTAGAGAAACGTTAGTATTAAAAACACTCGGAAAATATCAGGGGGGAACATACGGGGTGATCTGCTTCTTGGAGATGTCGAACTCGGTGGAGGCGTTAGCCTCATCGGTACCCTTTCCAATGCGGAAGATCTTGTGGTTGCAAGAGGTACGGTGGTGGTAACCGTCCTGACCGGCACGGGCCACAGTCCACTGGACGTGGTTAGGGTGCCAAGCACCAATACAGGCGACCTTGCGCAGACCCTTGTGAGTCTTGCGGGGCAGCTTGGTGGTTCCCCAACGGGAAGTAACACCGGAGAAACCGTGACCCTTGGTGACGGCGATGACATCAATCACCTCGTCCTTCTCGAAGACGGAGTCGATGTCGATGGTCTTCTCGAAGAGGTTGCGGGCGAATTCGACCTTGTCGGCGACGGAGCCACCGTTGACCTGGATCTCCATAAGGTGGGCCTTCTTCTGCTTGATAGGAGTCTGACGAATCTGAGTGTGGGCGAGCACACGGACGACAGTGCAGTACTTCTGGATGCGCTCAAGCTCGCGGGTGATGGAGGCACCGGAGCTCTCGGCGTGGGACTTGGCGTACTTGGTGAAGGCCTTCTTCTTGGACTTGTACCAGTTCTTGTAGAAGCGACGCTTGACCTCATCGCTGAGGTGCTCAGCCCAGACGGTGGTGAGAGAGCGGAGACCACGGGGAGTCTCGATGTAACCGACGACACCGACGGCAACGAGCTGAAAAAAAATTAGGTTCCGGTCCCTTTTTTTTTTTTTGTCTCCTTCACTTTCGCACACAACGGGGAAAACGTACAGGAGGGGTCTCGATGACGGTGACGGCCTCGACAATCTCCTTCTTGTGCATCTTGGCACCAGGACGGTCAAGGTCACGGACGACGGTGGTCATACCAGCCTTGTAGCCCATGGAGGCAGTAAGGTGGACGGGCTTCTTGGCGTCATCCTTGGGGAAGCTGTCGCAAAAAGTCTCAGCACACAAATCCACAAATCACGAATTCTTCCAGAAAGTACTGACCTCTTAACCTTACCACGGTGACGGGCAGCGCGCTTGCGCGGCAGGTAGGCGAGGGAGCCTGGAGATATAATCAGTATACTGTACACACACAGAGGCCGTATTTCGAAATTTCGATATCGAGGAAAAAGGTGATCACGAACCGTGACGAGGCGCTTCGAACTTCCGGTGACTCCTGAAAGACGAAAGCAGGTCAGCAATTGTATTCAATGGCGATTGTATAGGAATCTTCAATCGGGAAAGACTCACATCTTGACCCTGTTATCGTTAGTCGTCGAGGTGGTGGGAGGACGATCTGGAAATGTCGAAGTTGATTTTGCACGCTTGGTGTGTGGGCTAACCTAAGCGAGACTCTTGGCGGACCTGAGCCTGAGGCACCCCACAATAACCCAAATTATCTAATCCAGCCCTGGTCCAGTCACGTGCTGTCCAGATTTTCCGGGCCCACGAGTTTTATGGGTCTTCCTGCTGCCAAGGCAAACGGCCAGCAAAATATGGTTTTAGGACATCCACATTGTGGGCTGGAATGAAATATGGACCTTACAAAGGGAAAAAAAGGAGACTTTATGAATTTACTCTACCAAATTTCAGAGTATCAAACAAATGTTTTGCTTCAAGGGTGCCTAATGCACCATTAAAAATTCACAGTGAAAGGAGACTAAGAAATCATAAGAAGAGAACGAACAGACATGAGTATTCAGCGCACGCGCTTGAAACTACGCAGTCAGCGTAACTCGCACATTCGTACCGTACATCACACACTGAAAGATAGGAAGGGAGAAGCAAGGAATCGGCTTTGCCAGGATTAGCCAGACACTAGTCTGGTTGGGAGAAGAATCATTTTTATGCCGTAGGCTCGATCTTGGATGGAGTACTGGCACGGGCATTTCCAGCACCATTGGCGGGGTTGCCAGCAGTGCTGCCGTTGGGGCTGCCCTTAGAAGCGGCAGCCTTCTTCTCTTCCTCAACTTCATCATCGTAGTCTTCATCGACATCCATCTTACGCGCGGGGGGCTCGTGTGCAGGGGGAGCCTCAGGGCGAGGAGCTTCTTCCTTGACCGGGGTGTTGGCGGAAGGAGGTCCAGTGGGGGGAGCGTTAGGTGCAGGTGCAGAGCTCTCGGCCATCGGGGGAAGACTGGGGCCAGCAGAAGGACGGGGAGGCATGTCTTGGATCGAAGGCAGAGTAGGAGGGTGGTGAGCAGCTTCTGAGGGGTGATAGTTCTCATTGGCACGACGGGCGTCCTCGCGGCGGGCCTCTGAGGAGCTTCGTCGTTGCATCTCACCAGGAGAAGGCAAACGAGCGGGTGGGCTCGGGCGGCGGTTATTCTGGTCATCCAGACGAGCACGGCTTTCTTCATTTGCATGCTTCTTGACTGGGCCAGCATCAGCCTCCCATTCGCGGCCGCGCTTCATTGCAGATGCGGGGCGATCTTCGCGATCACGAGCGGCAGCCTCAGCAGCAGTAGCAGCCGAAGCAGGGGCCGGGGCACCAGAGGCGATGGAGTTACCACCTGGAACTTGTGGGGGGAGGGTAGGACCGGGGTGGAACTGTTGGAGGGGGTATCCTGAACCTGGTGAAGAGGGACGCTCCTCGCGAATAGGGCGAATCTCAGGAGCAGGACTGAAAGGACGGTTCTGGTAAGGAGGGGGAGGAGCACCGCCATTGGGCCCAGGAGGTCCAGGGGGACCAGGAGGAGCGACGGGCAGGCCAGTCGGTAGAGCACCACGCGGAGCACCAAAGGCATTGCTGCCACTAGGAGCGCGTTCGTGGCTTGGACCAGGCGCATTTCCAAGCTGGGGTAGAGTGTGAGGCGGCGGGTAGGAGTTGGGATCACCCATCTTTGGCGAGCGAGGCGCGCCACGGGGATCCGGGAACGACCGACCAGGCTCCTGTCGCGGGCTTTGAGCGGGAGCACCGGGGATCCGAGAATCGCGCTGGTCAAGACCGTTAGATGGGGGAGCTTGGTTCTGAGACTGAAGCTCGTTGATCCCACGGTTCCAGTCAGGAATCTGTCTCGGGGGTGCAGGAGCTTGTGGAGGGGGACCGATGGGGGCTGGTGCACCCCACTGAGGAGCTGGAGGTGCACCAACGCCAGGTGCCTGATAAGCCTGAGGATGAACATCCTGCGGCTGAGGCGCGGGGGCAGAGGGCGGCTGTTGCCCAGCCGTGCCAGCAGACAACTGGCTTTGAAGAAGCTGCAGACGAGCCTTGATGTGAACGTTGCTCGGGTCAAGATCTGCGGCGCGTCCGTAGGCATCCAGAGCATCGGCAATCTGGTTGTTGCATGATTCGTACAAAGTGCCCAGGTCATACCAGACCTCTGAAATGTAAGGGTTCAGGCGGATCGCACGAGAGTAAGCATCGAGGGCATCGCGGTATTGGTTGATCTGGTAGTAAAGAACACCAATCGAGCACCAGAAGGTAGGGTTGCGCCCGTCGCGATAGACCGCTTGCTGATAGGCTTCATACGCCTTGGGGTATTTCGCCATGGACATGTAGCAACGACCAAGGAGATACCAGCTTTGAGCGTCATTGTTATCTAGGGAAAGGATGGATTAGTTTCAACGTATGCAGTCCTGGGGATTGGGACTTACCAGCATTGACCGACTTTTCCAGGAACTGAATGGCCTTCTCCTGGCTTTGGAAAGCATTACTCTGCTGGTGATAGAGCCACCCAAGTTGCTGGAGAACCTTGGCGTGGTTTGGATCTCGCTCAAGCACGCGCTGGTACGCGGATTGGGCAGATTCAAACTGAGGATTGAGTGAGTACGAGGTAATCAAGAGTGTAGGGAAGCATGACTTACGTCTTTCTGTTGCTCGTGGACATGGCCAATCTGGAACCAGATGTCTTCTTCGGTCAGAGGGCGTGGAGGATCGCTAACAATGTATTTGAAGCACTGGGATGAGTTAGTGACAGCTCTCAGGGCTCATATGAAGAGATTTCACATACCTCCAAACTCTGATTAAACTTCTGCTGCTGCTTGTATATGATCCCCAGGCGGAAGTAGATCTCATTAGCCTTTTCGAAATCAGGTGCCATGCGCATCACTTGCGAGAAAGCCTCTTCCGCGTGATCCAGAGAGCCATAGCGATCATACAATATACCGATTCCATACCACAGCTTGGGTTCCTAGGGGGAGAATTGAATCAGCGAAATATCCGAGGAAAAATGTTGCGGGAAAACGGCTTACTTTGGGGTCACGCAAGTGGTAAAGGGCTTGCTGGTAAGAGGTGTATGCCTCTTGTAAATTATCCATCATAAGATGGCAGTGGCCAAGGCTGCCCCAAGTTTCGCCATTGCTCGGATCCAACTTCAAAATATTTTGCAAGTACTCAATTGCTTTTGGGAACTGCTCTTTTGTCCGGAGAATGCATGAAATGGCATTCATCGCT